CCCCCCCCCCATCTTAGACGGTGACGCTAACCAGCTCTACCACTGCAGGGCGTCTCCAATTCCTCGACTTCACCTTACAGCGCATGATCCAGCGATTCGAAGACGAATATCCTGAGACCCGCATCATACCCCAGTCCATCCCATCGTATGCGATTCAGGATACTAGCTCACAGGGTTCCAACGACGACGGATGGAACGGGCCCGTGTCTGAAAACACCCAGCTGAATGGCACCTGCGCTGATGCCGAGGCCGTGGCAGATGACGAGGAGGAGCACTATGCCGTCCGACTATCGCGGTCAAGCTCGATTACTTCGCTTCATTCGCGCGCAATGACCTCCGAGGAAGGTCATGTTCACCGTCTCGGGCAAAACATTCGGCGCGATTTCCTCCGGCCTTCCTTCGATCAGGCTGACGATGATATGTCGGCCTTCTCATTTGAAGAGTCCCATATGGCCGCTTTGCGTGATAAACTTGATCGTCTGCAGGAGGAACAAACCCACACACCTTTTGAAAGTGTGGATGCGGACAAAGCGCTGGGAGATCTGGGTACCACGGTGGAGGAGTTATGGGCCGCTCGTAAGAACGATGCGGAAACCTTCGAGAAGTTCCGGCAAAGCCAAATCGCTGCGCAATTCAACAGTGGCAAAAGGACATCGTCTAACAGGAGCAATGGGAACGACGATACCGAATCAGATCAGCAGGCTTCTTTCTGAGTTGGAACCTGGGTTGACTGGGTTAATCATAGCCGATTTCTGGCTTTTGTTCATACCCACAGGTGCTTCTTCCCTCGTCTAGCTGGCGATGGGGCTACTATTTCTGTATGAACGGATGACTGGGATCTCTGCCGGCAGAGGATGGCCCTTGTTTGTATATAGGTCACCGACAAGCGTGACATTATCTGTATTGTAATCTACTTCGCACATGCGATGTGTATCTGCGGTGGCAATTTCCTTTCGTTTTACCTATTGTTTGTTGTTCTTTTTCATTAGGGGAGGGGGGAAATCTAGGCTAAGGGTGGGTAAAGGCGTTGGTGCTGAAGGTGCATGGGGGAATCTGGGGCATATAGGAAGTTGAGTACTACAAGAGGTGGTGAGGGTAGGGTGTTGATGTTGATAATAACTCTGCGTTGAAATATTAGCGACGGTGAACGAGTTAAACAATAGTCAATAGTAGAGTGGAATGTAAACAGTTCCCCGCTTAGATAAGGCGGACATCCTCGGCAGGCCCCGAGAATCCGGGGAGGGAAGGAGCCCCCGGGCCTATTCACATGTCAAGCCCCCATCCATCATCCTTCCATCGTCATCCCCTCGCTCCTCTTCCCCATCATATCTCCCTCCCTCCATCCCTCCCTCCCTCCCTCTCTTTTCATCTTCATCCTCCTTCTCGTCCCTCTTCATCTCCCCTCCTTTCCATTTGTCCTCACCGGTCATGTTAGCCGTCATCGACTTCGGCTAACTACACATCCGGGGTTCACGTCGCAACTATGGCTGCGCAATCCAAGTTATTTCCGCCCGAGCGGTCCATCCGACACCTCTTCTCCCGCCTGGCTGCCACCTACCTCCGTCATCGTAAACAAATCTCCCGTACTGTGTATTTAGCTCTCTTCGCCGCTCTCGTGAAACGCGTCCATAATGCCATCTCCGAGCAAAAGGCCGCCTCCCAGCACCAGGAAGAACTGCGCCGACGCCCTGGAACCAGTAGTCTTGGCGAAGGCGGCGATCGTCCGCGCAAAAAGGTCGAAGTCAACCGGGAATTCTTTCGCAATCTGCTTCGTCTCTTGAAGATCGTGATCCCCGGTTGGCGGAGCAAAGAGTTACGGCTTCTGTTTGGCCACAGTGTCTTCCTGGTGCTGCGGACACTGCTGAGTCTGTATGTGGCCGAGCTGGATGGCCGGCTGGTTAGCAATCTGGTGAGAGGGAGAGGCAGGGACTTCTTGCTGGGGCTAGTGTGGTGGATGATAGTGGCAGTTCCTGCGACATTCACGAACTCCATGGTAAGTGGCTTCATACCCACAGAAGAGAAAGGTCCAGGAGCTAAGTCCCTTCTGTGTTGCGGTAGCTATCTTATCACCAATGCAAACTCGCTCTCTCCTATCGCAAACGCCTGACAGACTACATCCATGACAAATATTTGTCGAACATGACGTTCTATGCCATATCCGCTTTGGACGATCGGGTCAAGAACCCCGACCAGCTCATCACAGTAGATGTTTCAAGGTTCTCCGACAGCCTGGCAGAGCTGTACTCCAACCTGGCAAAACCGATTCTCGACATGGCCATCTACAACTACTCTCTTTCCAAGAGTGTGGGTGGAGAAGGCCTGTTTATCATGAGCCTCTTGGTGCAATTATCCGCCAATGTTATGCGAGCCTTGACGCCACCGTTTGGCAAATATGTGGCCGACGAAGCACGTCTGGAAGGCGAGTTCCGGTTCCTGCACTCGCGCTTGATCGACTACAGCGAAGAGGTGGCTCTCTACCACGGCCACGAGGCAGAAAAGGACACCTTGGATAAGGGCTACTTTACTTTGATTAAACACGTGAACCGCATTCTTCGCAGGCGCTTATACCACGGATTCATGGAGGATTTCGTCATCAAGTACTTCTGGGGTGCCTTGGGATTGATCCTCTGCAGTATCCCTGTCTTCTTCCGCATTCCCGGCCAAGTCACTCAAACTATGGGCGACCGTACCGAGAGTAAGCATTTGCACCCAGTCTAGAAACCTATACATCAGCACGATGACTGACATGCATCAAACAGGCTTCGTTACCAATCGAAGAATGCTGCTTTCTTCCTCAGACGCCTTTGGGCGTCTAATGTTCTCCTACAAAGAAATCTCCGAACTAGCTGGTCACACAGCCCGTGTCTCTTCGTTGCTAGAGGTTATGGACGACCTCTTGGCCGGCCGATTCGAGAAGAAGCTAGTGTCATCCGCCTCCACAGAAGAGAACACCGCCATCTTATCCGGTCGCGGAGTCGTCGAGGAAAGTGATTCAATTGAATTTACTGACGTCCCTATTGTTTCACCAAACGGCGATGTTCTGGTCCGCAAATTGTCCTTCACCGTGCACCCAGGCGACCACCTTCTGATTGTTGGACCAAACGGATGCGGCAAGTCCTCCCTGTTTCGAATTCTCGGTGGCCTGTGGCCTGTCTACGGAGGCCAAGTCAAGAAGCCCCGATTTGACGACATCTTCTACATCCCTCAGCGCCCGTATCTTTCGCGAGGTACGCTCCGCCAACAAGTTATTTACCCAGATGGTGTCCGCGAAATGCGCGCCAAGGGCATTACCGACGATGATCTCTACGAGATCCTCTCGGTCGTGGAGATCGCTTCCGTTGTTGATCGCCCTGGAGGTTGGGACGCCGAGGAAGAATGGCGCGACGTCCTATCTGGCGGTCTGCAACAACGGATAGCCATGGCCAGACTATTCTATCATCGGCCAAAGTTCGCCATTTTGGACGAGTGTACCTCCTCGGTTACTTTGGAGATTGAACGGGTCATGTACGAAACAGCCAAGAAGCTAGGTACTACGCTGATGACTGTGTCCCACCGACGAAGTCTTTGGAAATATCACAAGAAGATTTTGCAGTTTGATGGGCAAGGAAGCTACATCTTTACGGGTCTGGACTGGGAAAGGCGGCTCAAGTTGGAAGAGTAAGTTGCTTCGCTCCGAGTTGTTTTGGTGGCTCCACCATGGGAGATGAGCTAACACGGCGGTTTGTTACAGCGAGAAGGAGGAGCTGGACCTCCAACTTCGCATGGTGCCAGAGTTGCAGAGGCGTATGGCTGAATTGAGCGCTTAGGGCCGTTTTTCGTTCACGTGTCCGTTCTCTGGAAGGGATATAGAGTATATATGGGGTTTATAGTTGTCATCGCTGTGTCACTTGTCGTGCAATGGTTGCGTTATGGCATGTGTAGCGCGTTTGGGGCAACTTACACATTCATGATTAATGTAGAAGACGTATGGAACTTTGTAAGAACAGTTAGTTGCATAGAATATAGCTGTTTGATAATTGCTGATCCAAACAATGAGTCACTGTTGAGTGAGTGAATGGCTCCGTCATAAGCATCTCTCTCCTGTTCATCGGGCAGCGTTACGAGTGTAGGATCCATGTAATACTAGAAGTTCAATCCAACTCGCCAAGAGGAAAGAAAAGCGGAAGAATAGAGCGGGTGACAAAACGGCAAACCGAAAAGAAGGACTAGATGATGCAGGAGTCCAACTTCAACAATGGCCACTGTCTAATTCTCCACCTCGAGGGGCTCTACATTCCAAATGCTTTCGGCGTACTCATTGATCACGCGGTCGGTCGAGAAGAAACCCATGCGTGCCACACTGGTGATGGACTTGGCCAACCACTCTTCGCGGTTCTGGAATGACTCATCTACCAAATCCTGCGTGGTGATATACGAATTGAAGTCGTCAGACACTAGGTAGTAATCTCCGTGCTCAACAATGGACGCGATGAGTGCGGAGAAGTTGTTGACATCACCGAACATGCCGCCACGAATTGCATCGAAGACTTTAGCCAAGTGAGGATCAAGCTGGAAATCGCCGTAGAGGTGTCGGTGGCGAAGCTCTTCCACATCTTCTGCTAGATTTCCAAAGAGGAATATGTTCTGCTCCCCAATTTCTCTGGTAATCTCGATCTATACAGGGGCAATGGTCAGTGCTAGCATCGCAGACGGGATATAGGGCTTCATACGTTAGCACCGTCGCAAGTTCCAATGATCAAGCCACCGTTCATGACGAATTTCATGTTACTAGTACCGCTACCCTCCGTACCAGCGGTAGAGATGTGCTCGCTGATATCAGACGCTGGACAGATGATTTCGGCCTTACTGACGTTGTAGTCCTCAACAAATATCACCTTCAAAAGATCACCAACATCAGGGTCATTGTTTACCACGGATGCAACTTTGTTAATGAGGTGAATAACGGTCTTTGCCATCCAGTAGCCTGGGGCTGCTTTGCCTCCAAAGACCGACACGCGCGGCAGTGCCTTCTTTTTCTCTTCCGCAGACATTGACTTGATCCTCAAATATCGGTGGATGACACCGAAGATGTTAAGCTGCTGCCGCTTGTACTCATGGATACGCTTGACCTGAATATCAAACAAAGCCTGTGGATTTACACTGTAACCGGTGGTCTCTTTGATGTGTTTAGCGAGACGAATCTTGTTCGCGGTCTTGATCTCGGCCCATTCACGTTGGAATGCCTTGTCGTCGACGAAAGCCTCGAGCCGGTCTAGAAGTGTCAAATCAGTCAAGAATTGATATCCTCCGAGTCTGGAAGCGATTAGATCAGACAATCGTGGGTTTGCCTGGTGTAGCCAACGACGTGGAGTAACTCCATTGGTGACATTGGTGAACTTGTCCGGGCCGTATATTGTTACAAAATCTTTGAAAAGAGTGGTCCGCAATAGATCTGAGTGTAGTTCTGCGACCCCATTGACTTTATGCGAGCCAATAATCGCGATGTAAGCCATCCTCACCATCTTCGGGTGGGACTCTTCAATAATCGACACCCGGGACAGTAAGTCTCTATCTTGCGGAAAGTTCTTCTCGACATGCTGGAGGAAATATAAGTTGATGTCGAAAATGATCTGCATGTGCCGTGGTAGCAGATTTTGCACCAATGGGACAGACCACTTCTCCAGGGCCTCTGGCAAAACCGTGTGATTCGTGTATCCGAAGGTCTTTGTCACGATAGCCCAAGCCTCGTCCCACTCGAGACCTTCGTTATCAATCAAGATGCGCTGAAGTTCGACTATAGCCAAGGTTGGGTGAGTGTCATTCAATTGAATGGCAACCTGATCGGGAAACTCGCTCCAAGCTCTCTTGGTCTTCTTGAATCTCCGGACAATGTCGAACAGAGAGGCAGCACACCAGAAGTACTGTTGTTTAAGTCTTAGCTCCTTGCCCCTGTCAAGGTTGTCATTCGGATAGAGCACCGCAGAGATTGTCTCCGCACGTTGTTGCTCTGCGACAGCACTTTCGTAATCGCCAGCGTTGAACTTCTGGAAGTTGAACTCTCCGCTGGAAGCCTTGCAAGACCACAGCCGAAGATTGTTCGTGGTCCGTGTGCCATAGCCCGGGACAGGAACATCGTATGCTACTGCTTGCACAGTTTCGCCGTCTTGCCATGAGTGGATGGTTTTACCATTCTCGTCCTGGTGTTTTTTCACCCAGCCATAAAACTGAATATCGACAGTGATTTCATGCCGAGGGAACTCCCATGGGTTGAAGTCAAGCCAGTAGTCGGGGACTTCCATCTGATACCCGTCTACAATTTCCTGCTTGAAAATACCATAACGGTAGCGTAGACCGTAGCCCCAGGCTGGATAGTTCAATGTCGCCAGACTGTCAAGTAGGCACGCAGCCAAGCGTCCAAGACCTCCATTTCCCAGCGCAGCATCATGCTCCTGGCTAATGACATCTTCGACTCGGAAGCCAAGGTCCTTCAGACCCTCTTATCTCATAGAATTAGTAGGATGTTTTGGGCTTTTGTTCCAGGACTCCTACCTCTTGCGACGTCCTTCAAGCCGACATTGAGCATGGCATTATCCAGAGCTCGGCCCATAAGAAATTCGAGAGAAAGATCTGGCAAGGGTTGTCAGTGTTATCACAGATAAGTGAATGATGGCCTAAGTGATTCAAGGATCCGCTCACAATACACTCGCTTCTGGTCGGCAGAAGCCTGTCGCTGTTGCGTCTTATTCCATTCGATGATCAAGCGATCTCGAAAGGCTAGGGCGGTTCCAGAGTATGCGGCCCTAATACGTCAGCGGTTCGTTCCCTGATACTGTCCAGCGAGGGTCAAAGTACAATTCGTCACAGTTGTACAAGGAGCGAGCCAAAGTAGTTTCGATGTGGCGGACCAGCTCATCCTATTCACATCATCAGTGAATTGCTCGACGCTGTATGTGTTATCCAACTTACTTCGAATTCTTCTTTGTTGGCAAATCCATTGACGGACTATGACAAACGCAGGCTTAGCAAAATGATCTCAGATCTCAAAGCGCGTCATCAATTATCCTACGTGCTTCCGCCATCTAGGATACAATGCAGGTCAGCGATATACTCCAATGACGGTTTGATATGAAACAAGCTTGCAGCTTTGCAGCTATGGAGAGCGACGGCTATCACGACAAAGAGTTGGATTAGGTTCAATACTCACGCCTCCCTAAGATGCTCCGGAATACTAGCTTCGACACTTTTGATCTCTGCAGGTCCGAAGCCAGTGAAGGTCCGTCTGTGCTTGGGACGACTAAAGCCGGGACCAATGGGTCCCTGAAGCTCAGACACTGGAGCTCCAACCGAAGGCTTTCTTTCACGACGAGGCTGTTCTGAGGCCATTGTAGCTGAACAAGCGTTGAAGTGGCGGAAACACTAGCTAGTTCAAGAAGTCTATGGCGGCGGATAGGTCAATAGACTAGCCCAACGATTTGAGTATGAGGCATTCAATAACAAAGAAGCCTGAGCTAAGGAAGCGCCTCGAATCCTATAGTGGGAAAAGGCGAAAGAGAAAAGGGGGGAAAGATTTGGGGGGGAGGGGGGAAGAAGACAAAGAAGAAGGAAGGAAGTGGGAGGGGAGGTGGGAGCGAGGTATTGTAAGTAGTACCACGGACTGACTATACTTCACTATAGTAAGAATAGAGAGTAGCAGACCGACCTTCACTCCCCCCACCCTCCTCCCTGTCTCTCCATCAACCGCGTGACAAGGGTGTCTAAATCGCAATGCTGGGATCAAAGCAGGGCATACGAGACAACCGGGAGGGGTAATATCGAAGTCTGGGATGACAGTTGACGATAGATGGAGGATCGAACAGGAATCCGGAATGGATGATCATACGTTTGGCCCCCGGGTTCTCATGCAATGTCGTGCGAGGCAAGTGTCTAGGCTTTCATGGAACTCCCAACTAGCTCAATTCGCAAATTGAGCAGAGTAACTGGGCAACGCCCCAAGCTGCCGTGTAGCTCCTTGAATGCTAGGCCAGCATTGGATGATGAAGGAGGATGGGTGTGTGTTGAGACTGACGGATTGTCCGGAACTGGGCCTGAACTCAATAGAAGTCACAACGTTTCCTTGGATTGAGGGGTTTTAGGCGACAAAAACGAGACAAGACAGCATGAACTAATTCATCACTGCTCCACCTCTGACAGTCGCCGTCTGGCCTGACCGGAGCTGCCGCTATGACGCATGGTGATCGGGGAGGGGAGGAAGTAAGTAGTAACCAGTGGAGTGGATGGAGGAAGGATTGACTCTGGACTGGGTGAAGGGGTATTGGTACCGTATAGTAAGTAAACACCTACTCCTTTCAATTACTCCAGTTACTACTAACAGTTGCTAGTTACTAGTACTTACTTTCTTGGTCGCCAGAACTACTACTGCTACTGCTACTGCTACTGCTACTACAGGTCTGGTCATCAACCACATGTATTGATGCCTGCAATACAATGTACTAATTTTGTTCTTCTCTTTACTTTTCCCTCTTTTGATTGCATCTTCCTTTCTACAGCTCTTTGGAATAAATCTACTAACCACTACTAATCACCCGCCCGCAGCTCAGTCCTCCGGGTCCAGTCCATCTCCGGCCTCAGTCCCCCCCACCCCCGCACTGCAACCTTCCTGTCCGATCGGCGGGTCATCAACGTTCTCCCCCGTCTATCATTTCATTCGAGCGCTAGGATCGACGGTCTGAGCTCGAGGAACTCCGCGCGAGCCATGGGCGTTTCCCATGACCTTTTGCACGATGCAAGCCCTCTCCAATGTCTTGACTGGTTCCCGTGGACTAGCGAAAGAAACCAACATGAAGCGGCGCTCGGAGCTTTCCATACCTACATGCCCAGTCGACCTCGCTGCGAATTGCCTGGCCACACTCTCAACCATCAACTGGGACGGGGATGATGTCTGGAGGCACTGCCACAACTGGCTTTAGCCTAGATATGCTCGCCTTTTGGGCGGGCAAGAGAACGTCCAAAATAAAAAAAGTAACATCGACTTCAAGACAGTAAGCAGCACGCGTTACAGCATCATCTGATGGGAGCCGCTCCGCTTGCAATGGGCAACATCACTGCACAAAGGGCACGGTGACATTTCATGGGTAAGAGATCAATTGCATGCATAGGATCGCTACAAGAAGCTGCGTGGTATAGACAGGACGATAGAAAATCAACAGCAACGAGTAAAACACAATGCTGGGTAATAGCATAGAAAATTAGAGAAGTATGTAAAGAGAGATCGCCATTAGATGCAGAGTCAAGTCATGGGCAAAAGAAAAGAAAAGGGTTATAGGGAATTCCGGGGGCATGAAACAGGATATCAAAAGGCTTTGCGCAGTCCACGTGCAAAGAATGTAATGCCAAGGCCTGTAGCTCCCTCTTCCTGTTATTGAAGACATTGAGCTCATTGATTGAAGATCAGCCTCAGGAGTTGGACGTGGTCTGTTATGGCCGATGCAGATAGAAAAGCCCCAAAAAACATATCATCCTGAAATGATCACAAATGAGAAGGAAAAATTGACACCATGCCACAAATTCCAATGACCATGAACCAACCCAGCGCCAGGCACATTGAACTGTGAGGTCAACTTCGCACCGTAACGCCGATGCCTACCGACTGAACACAATGTGATGAACATGCGCAACAAAGAAAATCAAAAGATAACGAACGCCAAAGCTGCAAACAGGGTGCAAATCAGAAGCATCAAAGCTTCAGAGAGAAATGAGGTTCATCACTAACACCGGGCCGGAAGACTGACTAGTGAGAGGGCAGATAGGACGGCCTCTACACAATGTAGGCAATCGCCAAAGTGGAGAATCTCGGTAACGTAAACCGGGTCTAGTTGCTCTTCTAACGATAGCTGCCTCACAGAATACCCGAATCCTTGAGGGCATTCTGCAGGATTGTTTCCTTAACAGCGGCGAATACCAGACGGATATTCGTCGTGTCGGTGGCCTGAGTCAGACTTGAGGGCGAATTAGTGATTACACAGCACGAACAGGTTTGATCAAAACTTACTGAGGGTAGAGATTCAGATGCGCTCTGTTAACTTGATTGAATCTCCAAAGAAGGTATTTGGCCGCCCGGTTCACGTCATTGCCGCCTGAATAGTCCGGAAAGTAATGGTTCAATGGAGATCGAGGAAGCTTTTGTTTGAACAGATCGACCTTATTTAGGAATAGAATTATGCTCGTTCGCATAAACCATCGAGAATTGACCACGGAATCGAACAGGACTAAGCTTTCCATCATGCGATTCTGAAAACGAGATCAGCAGGGGCACATGGGCAGGGCGATGAAGCGCTACGAGACATACCTGGTTGCTCTCCTCCAGTAATACTTGGTCATACTCACTCAGCGCCACGCAGAAGATGATGGATGTTACGTTTTCAAAGCAATGAATCCACTTCTTCCGCTCGCTCCGCTGGCCGCCAACATCGAACATACTATGTGATAAGTCAGCAGATTGTTAATGAAACAGGGGTCGGCTTCATGGAGAGGACAGGTCATACTGTATGCTAAGCTGGCCCATGGTAAATCGCGTCTCATATATACCTGTCGTTTTCGTTCGCGCGCGGAGTACATCATTTACGTTGGGTATGTAATCTGGGGAAGCTATCCGCTTAGCTTCATCAAAGAAACTAAAAGGACTCGGTCAGCGGCTGTGCTTGTGGCAGAACTCGGTTGACGCAAGCACTTACTATGGCGCAGAATCCATCAGATAGAATTCGTTCTGATGCTCCAGCACATTGGAAGTACAAGGGTCATTCCAGAGATACGTTATCGCATCGCCGACCCGAGAATCCAGGGGTATATTTGGATCAGGGTCAATGTTATAATCGGAAAGGAATTGGATGTAGTCGCGGACTTTTTGACTTGAAGGTTCTAGCGAGAACTGGTGGTAAGCTGCTATGAGAGATTTGGTACAATCGAGGAGGTTCTTGTAGACCGTTAGGCGATATAAGGCCAGCTCTTCAACTGTGTACCCATTTTGGTGGATGATCTTCATTTGCTTGACGATGGTCGACTTGCCGCTTTCTCCGGAACCTAACATCACACACGAGATCACAGTTAGCGAGAGTTGAGCTTGAAGCAGCATCGGCCTTCGTATAGCCGGATGAGGGGAATGCAACTAACCAAGCAATAGGATCTTGCACTCTCGCCGTAGTCGCCTAGAGTCCTCTTCTAGTTTTCGGTCGATTGCTTGGCTCCTCCGCTTCGACTCCGCATCTCCTGTCGCCTCCGTACTCACACACGAACCCATATTCTCGGTATGATTCCCAGACAGCGAAAAGCTAACCCATCAGCTGCCTGCGGAATGATACGGCATCAACCTGTCAGGACGCTGAGACCCGACGCCGACGGGAGAGGCGAATACCCAGACGAGTGGCAGCTCCAAGGACCCAAGCAGACAGATGTGAGTGCGGCGCGGAAGGTTATGAACGGCGCAATGGCGAGGATATCGCTGCTGCGATCGGGATATGGGGAGAGCAAGAGAGACGGTGGTATATGCGATCGACAATGGAGTTCGATCAGGGATCGAGGCTTGCGCGCGTAGTGGCCGGAGGCAGAGCCACAACAGACGGCTCGAGGTCGAAACGGGGAAGGCCGGAGCGACGACAACTGCAAGCTCCCGGGGGTGGGCGGAGGTGTTGGCTCGTGACGCAGGAGGTGGAAAGAAAGCAGGGGAGACAGCGAAGCAACGAAAAGACGCCGAGCCCAAGCGCGGAGTAGGATGGTTCTGCTGGAGGTTTGATCGAGAGGGTGAGGGGTGTCAAGAGGACCAACTGCGGAGCAGGAAAGCGAGCGAGAATGACGACCTGACGCTAAGAAGGGTAGTTAAAGTCGATCGGGGGGGGATGATGTGGGAGAGTGGATGAGAGCGCGGATCTCGAGTGTGAGATAATGTAAGCAATGGGGATCAGTTGTCGGTCGGGTCGATCAATCAGGCGGGTAATAGTAGTTAAGGGAGGAAGGAGATGAGATGAGATGGGATGGGATTGGGATGGGATGGGAATTGGGGGGGGAAATAATGCGCGGACGTGAATATGAAAAGGAATTAGGTATTATTACTGGTCATTATAAAGGAGAAATAAGTTCGTGTGCGTTAATTAGTAGGAAAGGGAAAATGAGGGGGTGGAGGGAGGAAGAGGAGTAAGGTGAATGGTAGGATGTGATTGATTGATGGAAGGTTAGTTCGTAGTGGTTGGTAGAGAGGATGGGATGGAATGGGGATGGGATGGGATGGGATGGATGGGCCAGTTGTGGATGTTTCCCAATCGTCATCTAGACAGGTGGAAGTGGAGATGGCAGAAAGACAGAGGAGAGGATTACATACTCGCTCGATCGTAGGGGCGCGGGTGGGTATTTGGGAAAAACGTGGACCGGGCGACCCAAGCTTACCGCGAGTGAAAGACATAAAGGGAGAGTGTGAGAGACCAAAGCTGGAGAAGACCAAGAGAGAGGAGAGAAAGAACTTCTGGCGCTAAATGGGGGTTTGAATGGGTGAATGGATCTGATCGATCTTGGGGTTGTAATGTAAGTATAATAGTCCCTCTCCCCTCCCCCCCCCCCCAAAAAATAACAACAACAATAATAATAGTAATAATAATAATAATAAAATAAATAACAATAATAATAATACCCTCTACTATTCCGATCTTTATGTCAATGGTCGGGTTCACTTGATGGCCAAAGTTCTCCCTCTCCAGAGCATGTCTGAGATAGTACTCCTACTTCTTTGAGACCCTCCCCCATTAGCCCCTAAAGGAAAATAACCCACGCTTTGCCTACTACTAGACTACTACTATTCTTGTGGTCACTGGTCAGATTTGTGGGCAGGTCGGGGGAGGCAAAAAGAAAAAGGGACTAGCTCAAAACGCCAGTGGCAGCAATTACAACGAGTCAGGCCAGACAGGGCACACTCAGTTTGCCTAGCTAGGCTTTCTCTGTCGCTCGTAATATTTTAGCGTGTGTCTTGTATTCTTCCCTTTCCTTCAACCAACATTTACTACTATTACTACTACTGTGCGTTCACAAACCCCGAGTGAAGGGTTTGACTCTCTATTGACGGTATTGTGTCACATCTGGTCTAGAGCCGATTCGGTGGTACCCCGTGCTCCTGAATATCCAAACAAACATTTTTCGCATATTTTCTTGACGCAGGGAGTGAGTGTCGATCCCCTTATATACTTAGATCTTTTATATGATACAATTCTTCCTTGGTTAATTATTGTGTATTTCTTATTCGTATTGATGGTATCTTTTTCTCGGTTTCATTTACCTTTCAGACCATCATCTTGCCCAGCAGCACATGAAGTGAGGCTGTGGCTAACAACAGCACCCGAGTGGAACACTTGTGTGCTTAGAAGATCGTCAGACTACCCGGGCAATTCATGAGGCTACCTGGTCACTTGTCGCTACATCCAATAGCATCATCCAACAGTCCCAATCGACTTAGTACTTTGCACTTAAGCATGGTAGAAACCAGTATTCGCTGGCCTGTCGATAAAAGTCAGCTCAACCCCCAATTGACTTCAAAGTACCAAACTGTGTTATAGCCATGTTTTGACTGTATCAAGAATACTAGCGTAGGGGCGCCCCTTGTCGAGCATCCTGTCCTGGATGATCGCTCTGGACGTATCCGAAAATGAATGACTTGAGTCTAAGTTTTCTCAATTTCTCACTATGGAGTACACTAGTATCCGTTTTGAACTCCTCTTTTCCCCCCACTGCCCTCGAATCCTGCGTTAATAATAGGAACTTGGATCGGAGAAATGTTTTGAGACAACAACCATGTGCACATGAAACACTGGCTGTAGCTACCACAACTAAAGACACCCCTAGCTCTTTTTCTTTCCCCTCACCATAGTTACATCCATTTTTATGCTCTTGCCCATCAGAATTCCATGCTGTAGGAACAGAAGAGGGTGTGGTAAAACCCAAACATCTCTTTACACAACAGCAGAAATTCACCTCGAGAGCGTGCCATGCGACTGAAAGAAAACTGAGGATGGACAACCGAATCCAAATGCAATGGAATGATGGATGACATGCCGCTTATATTCATATCATGTCAGCAGCTCGCGCTCAGATTTAATGTTGCTTGCCCGTCGCATCTTACAATTTTGGACTCTGGAGACACGGACAGGTGACATTACGCTTCCACTCGAGGTTAATTGGCCCTGTCTTGTATCTGTCTATATATTTGTCTACGTATTCACAGCGACGCTTTGCAGCTTACAGTGGCATGTTGATTGATATTGAGCGTGAGAAGCATAAGCATTGTCCAGAACCGTTAGTCGCGGTCACTGGCTACAATCAAGGTTACATAGAATGCGGCTTCATGGACCTACCGGGCTTAGACGTTACCTCGTGTAGTAGCATGCCAACGAGTCTACAGAGTACCGCTGGTCCCATTCCCAACGGAGCCAATTTCAATGTGTTGACTGCAGTATTCATGCTGATATTAACTGACCATTGGAAAATAAGATATGCAGTGGACCATATACTTAGGAATGTAGAGCAGTCAATAATGACTCGAATCAGACACCGTCAATTGATCTCGCAGTTGACAACAGGAACTCTTCATCCGGTGTTTTGACATCAGCTTTGCAACCCCTCACATAGAACGGTCATGCTGTAGGACGTTCCTTTCTTCATGCCAACATGAAACCAGTCTGTTGTAGTACAGCAGGGATGGCCGTGTCAAAGCGGCATGTCATGTGGCATTTGCCCATTGTCGAAACGTACCTCCATTGTGCCACAACTCTTTGCAGATATGAGAACCAGTCTTCCACCGGTTGCTCCGAACTTGAAATCTTGTGTACTTAGTATCAGGGTTGGGAGAGAAACAGTTATATGGTCAGAGCGCAGATAATGATGGGGTTGGACCATCTCGGGTAAATTAGGTTGTATCGGCATATAGTCAGTCATCCTAAGACCTCGCTCCCCTCCTGTCAGGCAGCATGGCCGCTGCCGAGCACTAGTAGCTGCGTTGGCACCCCGTGCAAATTTCCTTGTGCTGAAACTCCTCGATTCTATTATTGGCATACGAAGGGCAATCTGTCAAACAAATAATCATGACAGCCTGAACAGCCTTACAAAAACCCGGATATAGTTTCCATACACAGCACGGAGTATTGTACTAATGTTAGTATCACCTGATTGTCCTTTTCTGTCCTTTTTCCCCGGGTCCCCCCTTAGCCAGAATTAGAAGCTTTGGCGAATACAAGATTGAGTGTGCGAGAAAATTGTTGTTCGGCCGACATGTTAGATATGAATTTATCAATGGACAGGAATCATTCGATGGGAAGTTGTTCGTCACGAAATTGGTGGAATTGATTGGAACCGGCTGAGCCCCACCGAGGGGGGGTATGATGACATCGAGGAGCACAGCTTGATGCTAACTAGTACTGATAGTATGGTTCGCCCCGGTTGGGCATTACGTAGTAGTAGACGCCTTCTTGGAATCATACTTACTGTGAGTGAGTAGTATTCAAATCGATCGCGATGATGGTAGCCCATCCATCGATCATTATTCTAGTTAGTGGCCATATGAATGGGCTGACACGGGATCTTGAGGTATACTGCAGAAAGAAATGAATCTTTCCCACACACACACACTCTCTCTCTCTCTTTCTCTCTCTCTCCATAGTCCGGATACCTAGGTTGGAATGTTTGTAAGTACCAGTAGTTAGCCTGGGACAATACGTAGTATTCAGAGCAGGAATACATTCCATGACTACTCGCCTTTTGAGATTGTTGCTGATGCACTGGAGAAACAATTCTGGTAGATCCCGCGGGGCATTGATACTTCTTTATATATACAACATCGCAAGAGATCTAACAGAGAGACTGCTAACTAATGAAGGACTATATATCAATTACATGCCAATGATTATGATGATATGATCATCTGGAGAAATTTTCCCATGGACTGTTAGGTAAGCGTGACGGGCTTCTTCCCTGAAATTTGGAACCCTCTTCCAACCAATCCAACCAATGGGTATGACTCAAGAGTCTAGACAAGACCGCGTCACAGTGGCAGTGGCACTAGTAGTCGATCGGTAGACGAGAGGGAAGAAAAAAAAGGGAACTAAGAATCGCAGAGCTGCTCTTACACAGTGCACAGTAGTAATAGTAGTAGTAAGTTGTGCCCACACCCAGCCGGACCTTTCTGCGATACCCTGCTTCCGTCGCGGACGTCATCGGTCTTGTTTTGGGCGTTCCGGAGCACTGAGAACTCAACGGACTAGTAGGAATTACTAGAGAGAGACTCGTTTTCCCCACACACACCCTGCTGGGCGCCACCTACGGTCTTTTGCTGCCTCTTTCTCTCTCCAACACCAACAACCAGTTGTACCTCGTTCCTACTTACATCCCGCATTTTTATTCTTGCTCTTGTCGTTGTTCACTTTAGCCTCTCCTGCTACTGCTTCTTATTTTCTTTACCCCTCCAACTCTACCCTCCTCTCCCACCTCACTCTTCCTCGATCTCTTGTCTCTTTTGGCTTCTACTCTTAATCCCCAGATCTCCTGAGAACGAGCTCCGAGGCTCCCACTTTTCCCCCCCTCCTTGAGTGCGGTGTACCGTCATCCTTACTCAAAAATGGCGGAATTCGTGCGTGCCCAAATCTTCGGCACCACCTTCGAAATTACAAGCAGGTGCGACTCTTTTTGACGATTTAAAAAAGATCAGTATGATCTATCGATCATTTACTCATTCTCTCGCAGGTACACAGACCTGCAGCCCGTGGGAATGGGCGCTTTTGGTCTCGTCTGGTGAGTTCGACAACCCCTCTTCTGGATTTCGCCGCCACGCGGATGGCTTCTGTGGCCCGCCCGAACAGCACATGGACTGACGCCTGTCATGGTATAATTCAGTTCTGCGAGGGATCAATTGACAGCACAGCCGGTCGCAGTCAAGAAGATTATGAAGCCGTTCAGCACACCAGTTCTGTCCAAGAGAACGTACCGCGAGTTGAAGCTGTTGAAGCATCTACGACACGAAAATGTTAGCCAAAACCCCCCACCAAGAGGCGGTCCGCCATCCGCCGTACCGCAATGCTGACTATGAGCAGATAATCAGTCTCAGTGATATTTTCATTTCTCCGCTCGAGGATATGTAAGAAATTTTGCCTGCTTCGAGTTCTCACTAAGTTGCCTTGTTTCTTTTTTTATTCTGACGATCGCCGCAGCTATTTCGTCACGGAACTCCTGGGAACCGACCTCCATAGACTCCTCACCTCCCGTCCTCTGGAAAAGCAGTTCATTCAGTATTTCCTCTACCAAATTTTGGTACGCCATTCTGATAGTTGTTTCCGCGCTTTTTCTATCGTGGATCTTTCCCCTGGCGTACGCTGACCATCCGCAGCGAGGACTGAAATATGTCCACTCGGCCGGTGTTGTCCATCGCGATCTTAAGCCGAGCAACATCCTCATCAACGAGAACTGCGACTTGAAGATTTGCGACTTCGGTCTTGCCCGTATTCAAGACCCCCAGATGACAGGCTATGTCTCGACCCGGTATTATCGCGCTCCCGAGATCATGCTCACATGGCAAAAATACGACGTGGAAGTGGATATCTGGAGTGCAGCCTGCATCTTTGCGGAAATGCTGGAGGGAAAGCCACTGTTCCCAGGAAAGGATCATGTCAACCAATTTTCGATTATTACAGAGCTTTTGGGCACCCCGCCGGACGACGTTATTCAGACCATCTGCAGTGAGAACGTGAGCATCTCCTCCCCGCTACCGTGAATGCTGCTCTTTCGATGATCTATCGCTAATACTTTTATCATCTTAGACTCTGCGATTCGTCAAGTCGCTGCCTAAACGCGAACGTCAACCTCTGGCTAGCAAGTTCAAGAATGCCGACCCAGATGGTATGTATATCACCATTAATCAAATCAGTCGACGCTGGCCCGGTCTCTAACATCATCATAGCTGTTGATCTCCTCGAACGAATGCTAGTTTTTGACCCCAAGAAGCGAATCCGTGCAGGCGAAGCGCTTGCGCATGAGTATCTCGCACCTTACCACGATCCCACCGACGAACCTGTGGCCGAAGAGAAGTTCGATTGGTCCTTCAACGACGCCGACCTGCCGGTGGACACCTGGAAGATTATGATGTGGGTCCTTGCGAAGTAGGGTTGCTAAGTATTGAATGCTAACCTAAGAGTAGGTACTCGGAGATTCTTGACTTCCACAATATTGACCAGGCCAACGATGCTGGCCAAGTGCTCGTTGAAGGAGCAGTCGCCGATGGACAGCAGGCCTTCGCATGAGGAGGTTCCACAATATAATGCCATGGACAAGGCGCAGGCAGCGATGCGATATGATTATGACGTCGTCAATTCCTTCGATTTATCTTGGTATGTAGACTGGAAGCGGGGACTGTGATATGGTGTTTTTGCCCGACACGGGTCTTCTTGTGCTCCCTTACCAAATTTTTCTTTTGACTCTTTCATCAATCTTACTTCCAGGCGTTTACACACGACCCGCGCTTGGAAACTTTTTCACCTGCGTTGAGAGTCGGACGAACTGGAGATTGGACCCGTCTGTAACACGACTGAATTATTTTTTTGTTACCCATTCTTGATGCTATATATACACTTCTTCTTGGTCCACGATTGATGAGCATGCGTGTTATAAATCTCTTTTTGATTAAACTCGAGTGTATTGGGGTGTGTTGTGCCTGTCCCTCCCTCTCTCCCTCTGTGTGTGTGTGTGTGTGTGTGTTTGAGGAAACTTGTTGGATTTGCGTATGTGCGCCATAGAATCGAATTTGAGAAAAACATACTAATTTCGTGACGTTTGAGGTCTTTCTGATTTCCTTTGGGTCTAAAGAGGGAGGGTGGGGAGATGGAAATAGAATACAAGTATAGTGCGAGATCGTAGTCCCTAATAAAAGTGCTAAGGAGCAAGAGGGCGTCAATTCCTTATCTTTCATCGAAGCCATCAGCACCTTAAATAGTAGCCATAGCCAACCTTAATCCCGAGGCAGCCTGTCCAGCGGGGCGTATGGGGCCCTCCTTTTCCAACTTTCCAAGAGTTCAGTCTCTCTTCCCCCAACTTCCCGTCACCGCCCGGCCGGGGGAACCAATTATGCAGCGGATCTGGATCAATCTGCCAGCAGCTTGCTCCTTCCCCCCCTGGTCGGGGTCCAGTTTAATTCCAAGACTACCGACTGACTCGGACTAGTGATCGCTTCCTCGAGTCTTGCATTAATTGTCTGTCGTCCCTTTCGTCCCACGTGAGCCTTCGTCCAGTATATCTTTTATTGGGTCCTCTTCTAGACAGGAGGGGCTTCCTCCTATTTTCAAAAAGGTGGAAATTGGCTTGGAACGTGTCACTTCTCAGTCCCCATTTTCTATGACCGTCCCCACGCCATGTCTTGCGTCCGCAGTGGTCAGGATCCCATTGTCATGGTCATAGATTTTCACCATGCAAGGTGAGTGTCTCGTCGTCGGCTGAAGCAAGCCCATGAGGGGCAAGAAAGATGTTCCAGAAGGGAGGCTATGGAGTGGCTTGCTCCCCAACCACTATCAACATTCCTCGATTGCACACCCTTTACTACTACTAGTGGCTCAACCCCCCGCTATCATGGTGATGACTGGGTCGGATTCAAGCACTAGCACTTGTACCTCATCTCTGTTTCCTGTGTCTCACTTGTGCTCTTCATTTGATCCACCGTGCCACGAGCTAGATTTGCTAACCATCGATATTTATCTACTCTGCCAGGGGTCCCGAAATAGAACTATGCGTTGGAGACGATGGAAGCGATCCTGCAGCGGAGAATGACTGGTCATTGTTACCGTTTATGGCCTTATCTGATGGAGCGCATATGTACGACCCGAACTGTCTTATCCGTTCCTCGTGGATCAATGCGACTACCGAGAGATCGCTCTGAGCTGCGTTGACACACATTGTACCTTATAGGTCCACCGAAGAGTTCTCGTACTTTACCGTGCGGCGGAAGGAGACACCTACCGAACCTGCGACTTCACTCTTCGGCATATCTTGTTCCCGACAGATCGATTCAAACCTTCTCATATATCGCCCTCCGGATGTGACAAGATCCACGGTGCAAAAAGCGGTGGTAGTGGTGACGGATAACCCTCGGAGCTTGGGACAATTGAGGGAGAAACTGTCTGTTGTGACTTCGGCTTGGTTTGCCCAGCGGTATGTCTATCAGCCGATGCCAATCTCTGGGACGATCTGCTCTCGCTTGCTATTGGGCAATGGTACATCGGATAATATCGTCGGGTTTCTTGGCTGACACGGCATCAACAGGGATTTTTCGGACATCGATATTCTAAAGGTGCGCTCTTAGATAGAAGTCTGTCTCAACCCTTACTCACACCTTCTTAGAAATTCAGGGAAGGCCTCGTGATCAGTCTGAGGAAAGATGAGGAATCAAAAGACCAAAACCTAGGTATGAGTTCCCTGCACTTTGGCTTCGCGTTTCCCACTGATTGACATTATGTATCAAGGCCTTTCCCTGAGAGAGATGATCCATGAGTTCAAATATCAAACTTTGGTTCTCTTCAAGGCCCTGCTTCTACAGCCGAAGGTAAGCACGTGCCCAGTACAACAGCCTACATCACATACTAATGTGACGCAGATGCTCTTCTTTGGCTCCCGATGCGAGCGGCTATGCATGATTCAATTCTCTCTCATTTCTCTCATTCCTGGGCTTTTGAACAAGTTACAGGACTGTGCTGATCCCGCCTTTGACACCTACGCACAGACTGTTGAACAGCCGACGTCCCTCAAGACGAGTGATAGGAATTCTTGTAGGTCATCTGATCCCTTCTTCACTGGGTGTATACTAATATCGATAGTATTGGCATATATGGGTCTACCTCTGCAGATTTTTGGCAAGGTTCGTTAAACACTACTTGTAGAGCTTAGGCTCTTCTAACATGATCTAGGGAAGCATGTTCGGGCCCTACACGCCATTGCAGCAGCTGGATCTGCTAGCAGATTATGGAACAAAGTCGTATGTTGTCGGCTCGACAAATTCATTACTGTTACAGCAAAAGGATCGCTATAGCGACATACTAGTTAATGTGAGAACATTTCGATGCTTTATAGATTCTCTGCTAACTTCTGATCTCTTAGCTTGACGAAGATACCATTAATATCTCATCTCCCACCCTTCGGAATGCCTTGGCACTATCTGTCGCAGACCGGCGCTGGATTGACCTTCTCACCCAAATCATCAACGATACATGGGATGAGGCCCATCCAGAGCAGCCTAAGACCCATGGATACATGGGGTCGGAGGAGTTCATTAGACTACAATTTGAAGAATACCTCTTAGCGCTCCTCGCCTGCATGCAGTATCACGAAGAGCTCAACTCTCTGAATGCTGACGAGTTAGGCCGAAGGAGCCGTGCCCATCTAGAAGCATTCAATATCGAGGGAGACCCGGCTTTGGAATTCAATTCCGAATTCTTGGCGCAGTGGAGGAACACGCCGAATTATTCGCTGTTCAAGCGTCTGACCTCCGATGCGCTTCTGTTTTCGATCGTTGAGCCTCGCCATCCCTGCGCAGGAGGGCTCACCATTGATGATGTCCAACGACGTTTGTCTCAACAAGTCGCGGAGCTTCACTTAGACGAAAGGGTCCGTGAAAGCCGCGAGGCTCTGAACAGGCACATTTCTACTGGGCAGAAGAAAGTGAGCGCGGCATTCAACAGCTTCTGGGCGGACATCGAATCCATGCGGGAGGCCCAACGCAAAAAGAATGAAGAGAAAGCCTCCCAGTCGCAACGTTCATCCTTGGACAAAGGCTCTCGGAACTCTCCACCGTTTTCTCCGTCTGACACCGCATCGGTGCACTCCACTAGCGGTGCTTCCTGGTTCTCTGCGCGTAAAGCTCCTGCTGTCGACCTTACCCAAGCACAGGCATCCGTGAGTGCAGCAAGCCAAAAGGCAGGTGCTTATCTCAGCTCCTGGGGTTCTTGGGCCAGTGAAAAGCGGAAGGAATGGCAAGAGAAGAAGAACACGCCGGCATCACCAACTTCCGTCAACTCGCCATCAGCTCCGGCTCTAAATAGCATCACAGAAGCCAGCGAGGCGGACCGAGGAAGACGGCGATCCATGCAGTCTCGCCGCAGTGAGGACTCCACAATCTCTCGCAGTGGAAGTAGAAGAAAGCGGTGGAGCAATATTCTCCTGCGGCGGGAAAGTGGGGAGTTCAGCTCCGCCTACCGAAAAGACGACGAGAGCAGCAACAACGGCGAGCAGGACACGTATTCGAGATCGCCCTTGTCTCGCACAGCTTCATCAGTTCACGATGACGAGGTCCCCGCGATAGAATCAACTCAACCGCCTATTGAACCCACAACCCATTCCGCAGCCGAAATCAACGAGCCCGCACCTACCACTGCAGCGGAAGATACAAACAAGCCACCACCTTCTGATGAAGCCGAAACCTCTAAACTGAAGTTCCCTGAAGACGAAACGAAGGCTCCTACTACTATCCACTTGCAACCATCTCCTGACATCAAGGAAGTGTCCTCGGAACCGATCGAGCCGCATGCCGAGAAATAAGACATTCATTCTGTTGGATGTCCACTCGATCAGTATAATAGTAATAAGGGAATAACTCATTTCCCCCTGTTCCCATTCTGTATGTATGCCTCCCGCTTTATGTCACGACAGGCTTTTTTCTAGTTCTCCCTATGGGGAACCCCCCCTTCCACCCACTCTCATCTATCATCGAGAGCTCCTGATACCCGAAGAGGACACAAATAATGCCTGTATATATGACGACGCACGCCATCTATTCCAAATGTCGTGTATACTTTCCCCCATCATGTGAACTGATACATAGTAATAGCATAGCAGCTAGATAACGCTCATAGTGTTTTGATACCAATCTTACATAAAATTTGCATCAAATAATTTTTGACTAGTTCCTTGATAGTATATTTTAATATTTATGAATGGCTGTCTTCCAACAGTTTATGAAAGATTCCAATTTTAGTTACTAAGTACTGAGATCGCTGCTCAGCCCAGTTTCAAAGAATTTCAGTTTATATGAACTTAGATGAAGGATTATGATGAGAAAGTGAAAGGTGGGATCCAGTCTAATTGTGTATCTGGGTTGTCATTTGTCGTAGCAGCGCTGTGAAGAAAAGAAAAACACAACGTTTCCCATCCGCCGCTCCTCGATGTGCCATTGGGACAATATGAGTCAAGATAGAAGAAGACTAATATAAAAATAAGGAAGCTACCGCGCTAACAGGACATTTGAGATGATGGTTGATGTGGTGCTGTGAGGTTGATCCAGGATGAGGGATTGAACCGCCAGATGAAAGAAAAGGATGGGAAAAGGGAATGGAGAATCCAGGCTGTATGGCGATCACGCGATGTAAGCGATCTCATCTCCGTCCAACCGCTCTATATAATCCTTCTCCATGAGTGCTTCGATGTTCTTCTTGATGTCCGGGACCTTGGGAGGGAAACGCGACTTGACCTGTTGAATCACTTCTTGGACAAGTTGCACGTGCTTCATCTTCTTGCGAGATTTCATGATGCGGACAATGGCGGACTGTGTTATACACATGTTAGCGACATGGAAATTCTTCCAATGGAGCGTATTTGCAAGGGACATACCTGAAGCAGCAGCTTCCGATCCTCCTCAATCGTCTTGTGCGTATCATCAGACTCAACCTTCTGCTCAGACTTGATCTGGATGTTGAGGTTGACCTTGATCTTCTTGTTCTTGAAGTTATAGTTCAGGGAGAAGGATGTACCAGGTTCTGGCTTCGACCCCTCCGGATTTATGGTGAGCACCTTGGCCTTCAGGAAGATACTCAGGTTCGGGTCAAGGATCTCAGGAGCAAGGGATGTGGCTTTCTGGATTTCCTCGTAGGACAGGGTGTCATGTTCGTTGAACAGTAAGAGAATACCCATCTGGAAGGTCGACACCTGGAACGTGTACGGAACCTTGGTGTTTTTGATGTAGTTGGTCTTGATTTCACCTTTGCATAGCTGCCAGAGCCATGTCAACTTACGACCGTTATGCTTGTCAAAGTAGAAACTCTGGAACCGCTCAGCAGTCTTGACGATCTCCGGTGGCGCGAGGAAGTCAGTCGAAGGCGCACTAAGGGGCCAGAACCCAGTTCCTAGGATCTGGAAGTGTGAGTCCACCAGTTTCCTCCGATCGTCATCGTCGAGAATCTTCTCCTGCCAGTCTCTGTAACTGGCGTTAAGATCCTTCGAAATCTGAATGTCTTGGAACATGCGCTGCAGCTTGTTGGTGTACTCGAATCCACACGCCTCCTTAAGCTTGCTAATCATACTGGTCTCTGCATCGTCAGAGACCGAGCTGACGTGGACGAGACGTTTAGCCAGCATCTTGGAGTAGAACTTCTGGAACACATCCTTGTCTTCAATGTACTTGAAGACAGTCATGATCTGCACCAGCATTTCTTCGAGTTCAGATTCCTCCGCTGCCTTGGAGCCCTTCTTGAGCAGTGAGTCGGTGTACCGGGCTAGCAATTCCGGGGTCTTTGTTGAACCAGATTTGCAGATCTTATTGCGGTTTACGAATTCACGGCAAGCATTATCTAGAGACCGGACGAACTCTGACTCGCCGTTGAAAGCTTCGCTTACCAGACTCTGATACCGGGTGTGCACCTGCAACAGTGCATCGACGTAGAGCTTGGGCTCAAAGGATTCGCCATCCGCGGCAACCTTTTCCACGGCAGCCAAGCCTGCTTTTCTGACGTGGGCTTCAAACTTGGTGCGGAGAGGATCCAGGCCGTCTTTAATGCGAGACAAGAGTCTGTACATCCGGGCTAGATCTTCTTGGCGTTCATTATCCAACAACACCTGGAACTCGTCCCGCAAGAGTTCGGAGTGCGCGGTAACAAGCACATCCAGGCACGTGTCAGTGAGGTGCTTAGAGATATCCGGGTGCAGATACAAGCCCACACGAGCCTTCTCTTCGTCCAGACGAGCCTCCGCCTTCTTCATGTACTCAACAACACTGTTCTCTGCGACAAACTGGCGTGATTCGTTCTCGTAATAAACCCTAGTGGCGTCAATGAAGGGCTTCTCGAAGTAATACCGATAGACCTCCAGGGTTGATTTGCTAGAGTCGCTCTCGTCCAAGCCAAGGGAGACGAAGGAGTCAACAATGCTCTTGATCTGAGACTGCTCGATGGTTTCGCCGTTTCTCTGCTTCTCGACCAGGTTTAGCACCGCTTCCATGACCTTCTCATGGACCTTCATGAAGAAGTCATCCTTCCACTTGACCAAGTGCAAGGTATACACATCGTATACATTCTTCTTGCCTTCGTCAATTTCCCGCTTGACCCAGTGACGGTTCAAATACCGGAAGAGATGGTTGATGTACTTAGCCGCCGTCGTGTAGCGGAGCCACTCGCGGATGTAAAATCCTAGCAGGGCCTCTTCCGCATGACCCTCGGACTCCTGGTATACCGCGTCAAGGTGACGAGAGAGGTACTCCCCAAGCAACTTGTACAGTTCCTCTCCTAGTAGGTGTGCTGGTGATGCCGTCAGCTGTGGGGTTCTGAGACTCAAGAATTTGTGTGGTTGTGACCGACCGCCATGATGCGCTTTTATGTTTTGGCTGCTGCCGATGGCCTTTTGTGACGTGCAAAAGTTGTGAACGGCGCTTGTTTCTGCAGGTTAGCCAATACATGGGGGGAGGAGACGCCTCGGAACCAGGACATACGTATACAACGCCATGTACTAGCACAACGAAGATGACATGTCAGCACACCATCCAGCTCGGCAGATAATGATGGTCCTGACGGGGAAGCCAGGAAAAGAAATTTGAACGGCATACAGTTTTCATATCCACACCTTCCTCCAACTTGAGCATCACGCTGTCGATGCCCTTCTCTAGGAACGTCCATCTGCGCACCGTCAGCCAAGGTCCCGACCAGAGCCGCTATATGATCCCTCTGACAAGAGCGGCCGCCCAGCTTATAAGGACTCACGTTTCATCCAAATCATCCTTGTGAGGGGTTTGGGGGATAAGAGCAGGCATTCTGCGAGCTATGGATAGTCGAGTTCGAGCCTTGAGCACAGGTCTATGGAGTAAACGGGACAGCATTAGCTTATGCGAATTTGAGACGACTCCGTTTAAAGGAGGAGTCAAGGCGAAGGAAGGTTTTCGTTATGGGACAAAACAATGGACAAGGAGACGATAGCAACCAGGCACAAAGACATGTGAGGATGAAAGGGAACACGGAACTTACCTCAACGTCCCAAGGATAAAATGAGTGACCGCACGATGAGCGGTGGGCGGCTAAGCTTTAAGGCAGCGATGATGAGTCTGAATATCAGCTTCAAGACCTCAGCCTAGCATTTAAGGCAGAAGAGAAGCGGGCGCGCTGTGGGAGACGACCCAAGGAGCCACGAGGATTGCACTGCAAATGCCCGGAACTACTGTAGTAGGTAGTGACGCGCCTGAGGGAGAGAGGGTGGGGAGGGTAGAAAAGCGAAGGCGGGAGGAGATATGATTTGAGCAAAGGAAGCAGAAAGAGGGCGTGGCGGTTGGGCGGAAGAACTAAGATGGGGGGAGGATGATGATGGCTGGTGGTTGGTGGTTAGTTTAGTTTGGCGGTTACTAAGTGATTTGGTGGAGGTTCCTCCAACAGAGGGGGGGAATTGCTCGCTGTTTGCGGTAGGCGGTCAGGTCTTCTCGATCTAGATTTAGATACCCCAGGCCACCCTGCTGACGATCGGGACTAGTACAGAGTCCTGTGAATAGTCTTTCTTAATTTTAATTTCTTGAAGGTTCGTTCCAGGTCTCTACAGCATCGTGTAACACTGTGCACGTTCAAATTTATACCTTTTCCAAGATCTTCCCCAAACTGCATCCCAGCACCCTTTGGGTAGGCTGGCACGGGACCCGACCCTTGGGATCAACCGCTACGTAACCGCCTACCCTTTTTCTGAACCCCCCAGAATTGTTCATCTGTCACACAGTCAATGTCGATCTGACTGGACACATCCTCCGCCGTTGGAGAGAGACGTATCTTAAGATCTCCTGGCATCAATGACACGTTGAATGCAAGACAATCAGCTCATTGCGTGACGAAATGCTAACTGTCATGCATTCTTCGTCCCCTCACAGGGGGCAAGCAGTACGAATGACGTCACACATACTCTCATTACGGATGAACTGATCTTAAACCCTTAGAAAAATAAACCACCACAACTCCGATTCCTTTAAACACTAACATAGAAGAAGAAAGACAAGAACGAGTGGCCGTGTTGACACTCGATCAATCATGTCGTTCTCTCCTCCTTCAGAAATTTCCGTGACATCTCGCCAGATCCCCAAATGGGGTGGCATTCCCAACACCTCGATCCAGTCTAAGCCACTCCTGATCTACCACAAAGCTTTTAACGCGTCCGCTAACGATCTCGCGGCGCACCTGGAGGAAATTGGCGAGGTCAGACCACAGTGGGTCTATTCCATGTACAGTCAAACGCACTTTCACAGCACCACTCACGAGGTGCTGGGTGTGGTTTCCGGCCGTGCACGGCTTTGCTTCGGTGGGGAAGCGAACCCCGAACGCTTCGAGCCGACCGTCGAAAAAGGAGATCTGATTATCGTACCCGCCGGCGTCGGCCACCGGCTGCTGGAGGAGTTCAGCTCTGATCAGGGTGACCCTTTCCAGATGGTTGGCGCTTATCCGCCCCAGAAACAATGGGATATGTGCTATGGTGACTCAAGGGAGGAAGACAGGGTTTCGCGGAATATCCATGCCTTGAGTTGGTTCCTCAGCGACCCCTTGTGTGGGCAGGATGGGCCTGTGCTGCACGTCTGAAGAATTCCTTTGGATAGATTTCGAGCGATAACAGCGGCCGTGGATTCTTTAACATCAAGATTTCATATGTACATAATGTTCTTATCGTATATGCACAGTGATCGTGTATTCCAAAAAAAGAAATCAGATTTTCCCTTTCCGACCCAATGCTATGAAAACTCCAACCGACCACCACGACAAACATAAACTCCATAATTAAGCTCACGAAGCAAGGATATAGCGCCAAGTAAAGTAGACTGGGGGGAATGAGAAGAAATTGAAGGAGGTTGAAAGGGGTAAGCCAAGAAAGGAGTAAGAAAAAAACTACCAGTAAAGCAACTCGGGGTATTAATGTGGGTGAAAGGGGGAGATAAATATGCCCCAGAGAGAATATAATAAAGAAATGAAGATTTTGGGGGGGGGTATGGGTATACTGTAGAGCTGCACTTTATGAAGCAACTCGTTCGACAAGTCTAAACCGAAGCTGTCAGTATCGTCATTTGTGTAACATGGTAGACTCTCGTACCTGAGGACACTGATAGAAAAGGTTGTGAGCCAGGCTAGCAGCGCAATCAGCAGCACACAAGCCAAGGCGATCTGCCGGTCGCATATTGCATCGTTTTTGGGTGCAACTTCTTGGTTGACTTCAGCCATTGTGCACGCGCCCCTCACGGTCGAGAGTGATTCAAACGCCAAACTGAGATTGGCTGAATCGAACACAATGAAAAAGATGTCCAGAAGAATGAGTCGTGCCTTGGCGGAGGGAGAGCGAAGACCCAGCGGCTTGGATGTGTATTCATCAAACGTAATGTAAACGAGGTAAACCAAGGCAACCGCATCGACAATAATCGCCATTAGTGCAGAGGGGCCTTGGGGATGCTGGTACTTCCCCGAGAGATGCTGGATAGAGCCTCCAAGAGCCAATGCAGTGAGGGAAAAGCACCACACCATAAGTCGAAAGATCAAGGGGACCATAGGGCTCTTGAGAAGCGTGCTGTGGAAGCGCTTGAACCAAATTTCTCGTCGTCGTCTCATCCTCAAGGGATCTTCGGTATCTTCATCCGGTTCGCCCTGGCCTCGCCAAGGTTCAGAATAATCACCGAGATTCTCATTCAACCAGTCCGGCGTGACGGATTTCTCCTCAACACCTTGTTCCCGAGGGTATGCGATGTCCCTAGAAAAGTTCTTCCAGCGCGACTCGCGCTCTCGTCCGATGATACCCCTGCTACTTTCACCCTGTCCACTCGAAAGGGTAGGTCTTGATGCTGCATAAGGTGAATGATTGTGCTGGGCGACAACGGCTTCTCCGGGCTGTGATGGAAGCAGCCTATCTGTGACAGCTGCATCTACATCGTCCTCCGTATACTCGACTGAACGGATCCATGCTATACAGGTCATCGTTGGTTAGCTGACTCAACCCGGTGGATCCGAGAACGATCAGGACACAAGGGGAAACTTACCTGGTAAAGTCCGAGGTTTCTTCCCCATTGCCGGGATGTTGTCGAATTCGCCCACGACTGTACTCTCTGGCGAACGCGAGTGTCCAGCCGAGTAGTCTACTGCATCATGTGGGTGAACGATATCATTGTCGCTGTGGAGCGCGCCAGTAGAATGGTTCGATTGCGCAGACATCCACTCGGTAGCGGATGGTTGCTCCGACAGCTGTTCGTCAGAGAGCGGAGCGGCATCCGGAGGCTGCAAATGTGAGTCGCGCACATCTTGTGCCATTGCCGTACAGTTCAGCGGTGGTTCCAGGCGAAGGTGCGTCGGCGGGTCGGAAGCTGGGGGCAAGCCGCGGATCTAGTCTGCATCGCCTCAATGTCCCTCGGAAGATTAGCGGGCACCGGGCTTGACTGAAATTTGGGAAGCCTTGGCCCTTGGGAGAGATAGGATCATCGAGAGAACAGTCAAGATGGGTGAAACAAGGCGACAATGAACTGAGATCAAACGTCGCAGAAGGAGGGGAAGAAAGAGCGAAAGGCTGGGAGGCTGGTTTCAAGAAATTTGGATGATGGAAGCCTACGTAGTAATTCGTCCGGGCTGTAATCTTAGCTTGGAGGAGCTAAACCCCCAACCGGTTAGCTGCGTAACTTACAGCCAGGTACAATCAGTACTTACCATACCGTACAGCCTGCAGTCACGAATCTCCATATTGTCGGCAGTTGCAGTGTCATGCATACCGTCACAACAGTAAGTTGAATGACGTCTGAGATGCAACTAAGCAAAGCATCATCCATCATCACCGCCGCCGCCAATTAATGGTCCGGCAACCTCCACGCATCCATCTCCGCTACACCCATTCATCCCTGATATCAACTCAGAAAACGGTAACAACTACTATTCGAAAAGCCAATTCAGGCCCCGTGACCTTCGAATACCCTCATCAGACAGGAAAGGCATGCCACTTTCATCTACGCCCTTGAATCGGTTATTTTCTCTAGTCGATCGCTAGCTCTCCCTGGCTGCCTCCCAAATTTGCCCAAATCAGCCATTGTCGCTGATCCTTGGAAACACGCCACGGCACTCATAATAATCATACAAAACGGACCCCTTCCTCGGTTGCTATGCGACTCTTCGTCATCCCTATCTCGACGCGACAAGCACTAATCTACGCTCGGCCCCTCCGCCGTGGCCCGTCGCAGAAGCCTTCGATACATGACCGGGTCATACAAAAGGCTGCAGAAACATGGGCGAAATGGGAGGAGGCCGATAAGGGCTGGAAGATGCATTTGGTCTCCTGGGGTAATCGGGTGCAGCAACGCATCCCGTATCAAGAATGGGGTCTGAAAAGTATCCCATCTCTCGCAGCGGTGCGGCGACTTGATGAATCCTATGGGACCAAGAAAGTGGACGTACTATTCCCGGGGAATGCTATTCGGCCGGAAAAGCTACAAAAGATGCTGCAAGCAATTGCAACGGAAAGGCAGGACTTGCATCGCCGAAGGATGTGGTTGAGCTTGCTTGCGACGCCCCTGACCGCTCCCGTTGGGCTTATTCCTCTGTATGGAGCTCTTCTGATTTACCCCAATTTGGGTGGCTTGGTTGACCCGTATATGCTAATCACATAAACATACCTACAATATAGTGTGCCGAATGTCCCTTTCTTCTACCTCGTGTACCGAGCATGGTCCCATGGACGAGGTTGGCTTATCCCCCACTTCTTTCCCATTCAAGACAGTTCGTGAACTGACCACTCCAAGCACTTAACGGCTCCAAACACTTAGAGTTCCTTCTAGAGAAGAATCTCCTGAACCCGATATCATACCCTGGGCTCGAAGAACTGTACGCGAAGCGTGTATCTTACGCACTGGAGAATACTGGGGTAAACAAACCCATTGCGGAGATGGTAGAAGATGTGGAGAAGAGTGATGATAGGTTACTTCTCCGCATGACAGATGCGAAGAAACTAGCCTCGATACTCGAGGCACCGGATCTTGCGCTGGAAGCCGAGCGAGCCATCATACAAGTGGAGGAAAAGCTGAAGGCGGATGCGAAGAAAGATGGTGAGGATGGGGTCTCTGAAAAGAAAGATACATGAGTAAAGGGGATATGTATGGAAAGGTTTCCTACACGGCAACCATCATGGTCCGTGGCTGCCCCAGGTCTTCCAATGACAAGTCAGTACATAGTATATGGTGTTTGTAAATGGTGCTTGGCGAATGGAGCTTGGAAGCACACGCCCGATTAGAGTGATAGGAAGTATCTAGACATATTGCAAAATAATGAAAAGCACGCGACTCTCCAAGCACTTCAAAGGTATCAATTCATGAAGCTATCCAGAGACTATCTATTTAAGATAAAGTCGATTATCTGGAGCAGTACCTGGACGGAACTAACTTGTTCCGGTAATCCCAGCGGAGCCATTGCGGGACGCCCGAACCGGATGACGCCCAGCAATCCAGCCAAACAACTTCCCCCCATTTATTCCCCCCATCCTGTTCACTTCATTCATTCTTACCTCCTGTCTCCCATTGCTCGGTGTCCTGCTGAAAACCCCCAAGTCGACAAGCGACTCTGTCTCCCATCATGTCAACCAAGAAGATCGAGCAGTGGGAAATCGAACGGTACTGGGAGATCTTCGCATCGCTGGCAGGCGGCCAGCCGCGTTTGAACAACTCCCAAGCGGCCTCGGTACTCAGGAACAGTCGGCTTCGTGATGACCAACTGGAAAAGGTCTGGGACCTGGCAGATGTAGATGGTGATGGCGAACTAGACTTTGAGGAGTTCTGTGTTGCCATGCGATTGGTGTTCGACCTTGTCAATGGGGTATGTGAGCTCCCCTACTGCGGCGCCTCCCGGTCCTCTTGGTGCTGCATGTCTCCTTTCCCGCCCGCTTCTGCAGTCCAATGCTTCCCGCCACTCCATTACGTTCCGTGCTAATATATCCAATCCGCAAAGGAACTACAAGCAGTGCCAAACGTTCTTCCAGATTGGCTTGTGCCCGAATCCAAAGCTCATTTAGTCCATGCGACCCGGGCCCTGAGCGGTCGTCCAGAGCAATTCGAACGGATAGAAGACGAAGATGACACTCCCGGCTTGAAAGATGGCTTCGAATGGTACATGAACCCATCCGATAAGTCTAAATACGAAGAAATCTATCTCGCAAACAAGAACCACCGCGGGGAAATCTCCTGTATGTCCGAATCCAAGCTCTCCCCCCTCCCCGACTTCAATCTCCCGGGCCATGAAACTGACATGATGCGGGTCTCATATAGTCGAATCATTACAGCCTCTTTACGACTCCCTTGACGTCCCGGACACAGACATCCGCTCTGCATGGAACCTAGTCAACCCTTCTGCTTCCCCGACCATCAACAAAGACGCTACGCTTGCATTCTTGCATATGCTTAACTACCGCCACGAGGGCTTCCGCATTCCCCGCGCCATTCCTGCATCCCTGCGCGCTTCGTTCGAGAACAACCAGATCGACTACCAAGTCGACAATGCCCGTCCTGCCCAGAAATGGGGCGCAAGCGGCGATACGGAGACCCTCACGGGCAAGAAAGCCAAGTTCGGAGATACCTACTTGAGTCGGCTGGGTGCCGGAGGAAAGACATCCTATACACCCAAGGGCACGGATTTCAGCGACACCATCCAGGATGAAGAGTGGGAGAAGGTCCGGCTGAGGCGCGAGCTGGCGGAGATCGAGTCCAAGCTGGATTCCGCTAGAAAGGCGTCCGAAGGACGACGCGATCGACCTCGGAACGACGGCCGGCCCAACTGGGTGTTGATTAAGAAAGAAGCACTCCAGCTGCTGGAGTACAAGGAGCGGGAGCTACGGGAGCTGCGTGAAGGCGCAGGCCGATCCAAAGACGGCCAAAACGTAGAACGTCTCAGAGATGATGTCAAGACCGTTGGCGAGCAAGTCGAAGGTTTGAAGAGCCATCTGGCGCAACGGAGGGAGGTGCTCTCTGATCTGCGGGCACAGGTCGAAGAGGCAAAGTTTTCCCGGTAATCATCTAATTTATCCTCGCTTGACATGCCTTTCCCTCTTCTTGCTTCGTTTTCTTGAATATACTTCTCACCTGGGTTGCTTCTGGTATTTCCTTCTTGCCGTGAGGGGTCTACGCTCACGAGCTTTGCTATTGTGTTGTATAGCCATTTTCTTGGCGAGGAGCATCAGGCGCTTAATGGATTGATTCGTGTCTCGTGTTTTATTTTCATGCATGCTTCGCTTCCACTAGAGGTGTGATTTGTTCCAACTCATTTGAGTCCTGAGTTTGGACTTGCTCTCGCGCATTACCCGCCTATTACTCCTCTTCCTTTTCCAGTCACCCCCTCTATCTAATGTACAGTACATAACAAGAACGCCCTATAGGCCTAGCCTAGGTTCCGCTTTCCTTGACCTGACGCCCATCCCATGATAAGTAGGTCTTAATGATTAATGATGGGCACAAACCACCTAAACGCCCGCCTTCATGACACAAAACTCAAGAAAGAAAGAAGATGAGTAGAACCAAGAAAAGAAAGAAGAGGAAAGACAATTACTTTCCAATAATCTGCGCCATCAAACCATCCCCATCCCTCTTCGTCTCGACAGCCATGAAAGCCCGTCCAGTAGTATCCAACCCCTTCTCAGCACGAGCATACGCCTCCTCACTGCGATCCGTCAAGATATCCAAATCCTCCTTCGAAAGCAATGTGGCCGGGTCCGCACCAGCCTCAAAGCTCTCATATTCATCCTGCCCCAGCGCCTTCTTCAAATCATCAACGTCATTGGAGCTAAGTCCACCGGAGTCCAACAGACTCCGGAACTTGCCCTTTTGAATAACCAACCGTTCAAGACGACGCTTCGAGTCCGCTTTCTCTAGCAGCGTCTGCTCCACGGTTCCCTTTGTCGCGAGGCGATAGACAATGACCGGTTTTGTTTGCCCGATACGGTGGGCGCGGTCTTGTGCCTGCAGATCCTGCTGCGGATTCCAGTCGGAGTCGAAGAGAATAACGGTGTCGGCGGCCATGAGGTTGATTCCTTGGCCACCGGCGCGGGTGCTGAGGAGGAAGAGCTTGTAGTTCTTGTCGGCGTTGAAGGCTTTGATTTGAGCGCGGCGATCTTCTTGGCTGACGGCGCCGTCGATGCGGCAGCAGTTCCAGGAGCGGAGTTGCGTGGCCCAGTCTTGGAGGATGTCGAGTTGGGTTTTGAATTGGGAGAAAATGAGGATTTTGTGGCCCTTCTTGAGAAGGCAGGGGACTAGTCGGTCTAGGAGGAGCATTTTGCCAGATGCTGTGACGAGGGTTTCGTCGATGGAGGTTGGGTCGTCCATCCAGGGCCAGTAGAAGTTGTGTGGGGAGTTGCAGGCAAGTCGGGCTTGCATGATGGGGTTTTGCATCTTCTTTTGAGCGATTTCTTTCTCTAAGGGGTGGGAAGGAGATGTTAGTTTTCCGATATAGGATGAGGGCAGGGATACGGAGGTGCTTACTGGCAAGCCGGATGGTTTTGGCTCTCTCTTGCTCCTCCTGTTCTGTCTCGCTGGGTTGTTCAGCGATGTCCAGATCTTCTTCT